TTTAATTGGACATGTATTACTATAGAATCATCGACTTTAAGAATCAACGGCTAACCTGTATTAACAAAAAATAACCAAAACCTAGTTTTCATCTTCATGGTGCCAAATAGGGTAATGTACTAACTTATATATATTTTGGGTTTTTCCTGTAGCCAGGCAAACAACATTGTGCTCAAAACCAGCTTTTATATATACTAGAATAAATAAAAATAGGTATTAGTGAAAACTCGATTTGGGGTATACATGGTTCCCAAACGACCCATTAGCATTTGATATTAGTAACCTTATATTGCAAGGTCATTACTACCATTGAACTACCTAAAAAAAACAAAAGGTTGGAGCCTGTAAATGCTCCTAATATAGTTTTTGAAGGAATCATTTCACGATATTACTATAGGAATTGTTTATTATGAGATCACTTAATTTTGGTGCAAGGAGGTCACAATTATTATTAGCAATTGGATCAGATATAAAAATGTCATAACATTCAAGAAATTTATTTGAGATATTGTGTTAGTCAATCAAAGACCCTCCAACCGCTCCATTTCACATCCAACATTCAACAATAGTTGTGATCACCTTATACCAAAAGCAAATAGTCTTATTGTATACATTTTTATAACATAAAATGATTTCAACGCCTAATCAGGGTTTCATGACACTTGGTCTCAGTGCGTGAAGATCCTAGTGTCATGGTGCTCTCAAACCCCCATTAAAGTCAAGACCCATTGAAAATGAAAGAATTTAATGCCTTAAAAGAAATGAAAGTTGGACAGAATGAACTGGCATGGAATATGCGGTTTTTTATTTTATCTTTTCTTCCAGCTAGAACACTTACATAAGTCCAAAAATAATAAAATAAAATCAAAATTAATAAAGATAAATGAAAAAGAGGTTCTCACTTGCTGCTACTAAATAAAAATTTTATTCAATAAACCAAAATTACATAAGACTCATGGGAACAAGAAAACATTACTGCATAACATAAAACAAATTGTCAGAAGATTATCTCAACTGGACTTCGTATACCCCACTCTGGGTTTCCTCCTTTGATGGTGCACGAGATCAAGATCTATGTCAAATCTTAAAAATATGGGAAGACTGGCTAATATCCTTAAATGCATGGAGCAATTGTGGAACAGAGATAAGGCTCAAGCTTGTATGGGGTTTGCCCACTCTTGGGCAACTATGGTTGGGGCATGCCCCTTTTTTTTTTCACAATTTATTTTGAGTATTTTGGGAGGCTTCGAGAGAGGTGAGAGAGATTGGAGAGAGAGGGGCATGTAGCCGAGAGAGAGAGAGAGAGAGAGAGAGAGAGAGAGAGAGATGTAATGGTGTGTAGAGAATGTGAGACACCATAAAGACTATTTATAGAGCAAGTCTTAGAGTTAGGATTAAGGTTTTTTAGGGTTAGCCATCCAGACTATTGATTATAGGAGACCTATGGTGTGAGAGATTTTAGCCTTTTAATAATTAGATTAACCATTATGATATAAAGAAAGGAAGGTGTTAGAATCCTATGCTTCAGTTTCTTTTACCTAGTCCCATCAAATAATTATATTATGAAAAATATATTTATCTTTCTTTATTTTCCATAAATTTCTTACACATGCTTCAATTAAAAATCAAATTTCTTTAATTTTCAAAACATTCCTATTTGTTTCAATTGATCGAGTGTCTTGATTGTCAATGCCACGAGATAGGAAAGAGCTCCTCAAAGTGGGTCGTTCCTCTCATGGGGCCTCAAGTGGGGCCCACGCACCCCCACATGCATTTAATTTAGTGGGGCCCATGAAGTATAATGAGCCCCCATGTGTATTATTAATTTTAAAATAGCAAATAAGATTTTTAGAAAATTATTTCTATTTTATTTTTCTATTTGGTTATTAAAATACAAAAAATTCAATTTTAGACTATTTATAAGTCCATTTCGCAAAAGTAAAATACCCCGAGATTTCAAAATATTCATTCTATTAATCTAAAAATTAATGGTCAAATTAATTGCTTGTAAATTAATTTGATGGGATTTAGATCCAACTAGGTTAAGGAATATCAAAATTACTGAAACGCTCCATCTTCTACTAGGGACTAAAATTCACACTCACTTTTTCAAACTGACGCAGCAGTTCTCATGACCCACTGACCATCACAAGGGTTCATGATTGAGCTACCAAAGTCAGCTAATAGGTTAGGGAATACAATCCTAGTATATGAATTCAAGGTTTCCCTTTAAAGACAAGTTCGAGATCACACAAATATGTGTATACAAACTCATATGGTGCATATGAGGGTTATCTCTAGCACAGGTACACGTATGACCCTCAATGGTGATTTTCTTCCCGATGCGGCTATCATGTGTACATGGTGTTTGATGATTTAAGATGAGGCTTCGACCGTCGTCCCTACAGGCCCACCATTTTACATAGATGGACTACACAGTCCCTTGGTTTACTACTTTGGGCAATTTCGACCTCATCATGGATAACTCTGCTAACCCTCATCGATTGTGCTTTATGTCCAAGTATTTAGGGTTTCGCAACTCGACTGTCCTAACTTGTTATGCCTAGTCCGAGTCTCGACAGACAACATTTCCCAATATCAATCCCTTTGGACCATACTCATACTTGAGTTATTTGTTCTACTATATTAAAAATTGATTATACGTGCTCTCGTAATGCCTTTAATGGCCACAGACATCCACCAGGGAATCCCATTTCTGCATGGAGATCGGTTTCCATGTTTTAAACCTTTTCTATGGAAATGTCAATTCTACCCAAATGAGTAAATTAACATTTTAGGGAAATTGAAAGAGAGCTATGGGCCCAAAAACTTTGTGAGGTAAATTTATTTTATAGAGTGGGTAGAGGATAATTTCTAGGAGGCATTTCTTCCAGACAATCCACACAGTGGATGCATCTTTTAGATCTTTTATTAGATGCTATCCAAGCAGTAGTCACCTGTATTCTAAGAGATGCGAATTCCAGGAGATACCAATCCTAAAAGATGCATCTCCCAAGATATCCATTTTCAGGGAACCAAATGGGGCCTAAAGTAATTCGGCATGTGTTCTTTTGCTTATCCCTCATCCTCAAATACCCTCATAATTTTTGAACTGGGATTTGAAATAGAAAATATCTAATAAGCAAATTTTTATTTTTATTTTATAATTTGAAAGAAATTTTGAAAAGGTAAATTCACCCAAAAATTAAAAAGGGACCACTTGGGTTTTATTTAAAAAAAAGTGTATATTAGGTTGACACTTTAAATTTTAGAATTAAGGTGCACCTCTAAAATCCTTCAAAATAGGTTGCTTTGATATTGGAAAAATATCTAATTGATCACCTCGACATTGAGTTGTATAGACAAAGAAAAAGAGAGATTCCAGGTCCTAAAAATACATCTTGCAACACATTATATGGACCCTCTATTTTCAAGATTTTCATGCTTTTAGAGATCTACTTGATTTGAACTATTTTCTAAGGTTAAAATATTATAATTAGATATCAAAGTAGATTTTGACACCATCTTGAGAATTTTTGACACCAAAATTATATCTCATGACAAAGTTTGGAGGTCCACCTTAATTTGATTTTTTAAAGTTGCAACCTTATGCCATGCCTTTTGTTTTTATGCTTAAGCACTTTATCATTTATTGTATCAGAAATACACCTGACAAAGAATAGTCCAACTACATTATTATAATTATAATTATTTTTATTTATTTATTTTCAATAAGCATACCGACTCAATACTGCCACCCCATAGTTTTGCAACTCGATCCCAATCTTTTGCTTAGTTTCTTTTTATAAAGAAAGGATATTATGGTGCTATCATTTTTTTTTCGTATCTCTAGGACAAATTTGCATGGAGAACTTGGATGCACATCAAATAAGAATAAAGAATTATGTGTAGAAAGTGATAGCACGCACTTAGAGACAAAAGAAATATTGAGTTCTGTGAAAGGAAAGTATATATTGTATATCCGGTTAATATAAAATGTGTATATTGTAATCAGTAAATATGGGAAGGGTAGGATATTGTGTCTTGTATTTTATGGTAAGTCTGGGTATAGTTTAGGTATCTATTATTTAGTTTTTATTAGTGTCATATGTAATTTGTCTATAAAAAGACAAGTCTGAATATTCATATGATTAATGGACACTGAGTCTCTTCAGAGAAACCTGAGACTTTTCACACTTACTAATGTTCAACAGGTTTATGCCCGTTTCATCCATACAACTCCAACAAATTCAAGAGAGAGTTGTAAAAATTCACATATTCAAATCCATGAAATAAAAAATTCATGTAAAAAAAATTATAACTACATCCCTTGACCCTATTTTTGAGTGATCCCCTGCCAAAATACTTTCTAAACCACATTACTAATTTGAAAATTGTTTATTTTTTCCTTGAGGAAAGTGTGTATTGTAAGGGGACATTTATAAAACTACATTTTTAATTGACGGATGGATGCAAAAGTAATAACTTTTGACATTAGTGCTGTGCTTTACAAAATGAAAAATTGTTTTGAATGGGTTGGACCACATTTCTACATATGAGGTCTAAAAAGTGCAAAGCATCCATCTTAAAGATGGATGCAAGTAGGTGCTCCATATAAAAACAATAAAAACTAACAGTCCAAATGTTCTCTTACTATGGTTAATATTTTGATTTTTTAAATTTATTTATTTATTCATATTCATGATCTCCATGTTAGATATTACATGTCCTCAAAAACAAATTTTTTAAGATGCCCGCATTTGACAACATAGAAATAGCGTATCTACTTTCCCATGCCCATATAATGCTTTTGAAAGGTCCGTCTTCACTATCCATCAACCTTCCCACGGACCTAGATTTACAAGATGACAGACGGTGGAGATGGGCTTCACGGGCATTTTGCATCTTCGGCCTTCACATTCAATGAAATGACGTCTCTGTACTCGCGAAAAAATCCGAAAGTACCCAACTTCGGTTAAGACAGACGCATTTGTATGCACGCCGAAAATTACGAAATCTTCAACTTCTCGGCGAAGCGTTTACAAGAAGATAGTACAAGCAACGAACTCGTCTGTTAATGTCAGCTAGTTTCCTTTCCTTCCCACTGTGAGTCATTCAAACTGAAGCTTTCAAACCCTAGAAATGGCGTAAAGGGATCAGAAATGAGAGGATAATTGCCAAAAGCAAGTGGTGAAAAACACAGGCAGACGAGGTAAGCCCTTTGCCTCTTTTTTTTGACAAAAAGGTAAGCCCCTTCCCTCGAAGCAATGTTTCAGAGGCGAATTTTAATTGAGGCTTTCTTTATCCTTCTTCACCTATATTCATAGATGGGCCTTCATCTTGTTTTCTACCTTTTATGCTCAACTCTTTTTCGTTCTTTTGAATTTTTAATTCTTTGGCTTCCATTATGGGGAATGTGGTAGCACTTAGGTTATTGTTGAGTCTTTTAGAGTATCCTTGTAGTTCATCTGAAATTCTCGTATTTCTTGGTCCTCTTGAATTAGTTCTTGCTTTCTTTGGGGTGTGCCATTCTTTTGCTGTTGTTATTGTGCATGAAGTTAAAATCTACGTAATTAACTGTGGATCTTTGTGATGTATTTGTACATGAGTCTTTGATGGGGGTTTTTCCTTTTAACTTGCTAGATAGATGTTCTGAACTTATCATTACTCTGAATTGTTTCCTTTAGATTTTGAATTTTGACTTAGATGTTCTGAACTTATCATCACTCTGTATTGTTTCCTTTAGATTTTGACTTTCGACTTTGCTTTTGGCTTTCTTTGGCATTTGAATTCTTTGGCTGCCATTATATGGTGTAAATTTTGTTTATATGGGCTGGCTTCGAGAATATGGAGTCAATTATGTGTAATTAGTAGTGAATTTTGGTGATCTATATATTTGAGTCTTTGGTGTGGATTCCTTTTCATTTGCGAGCATAGATGTTATGAACTTCTCATCATTTTTTTTTTTTTGCTGAATTTCATGTTTGTTTCTTTTGGATCTCTAATTATTTTTCTGCCATTACAGAGCATTTTCTGTTTGAGATTATGGAGTTAAAATTACAATGAAAAATGGCTCACAAGGCTTCAATTATAAATTCCTGTGATGAAAACTAAGAGCAAGATATACCAAATGAAAAATGGCTCACAAGGCTTCCAGGCAGTTTAGATGTTGTTCTGAAAATGGGCATCGGCAATATTAGTTTTCACATAAAGATGATGCAATCCTCCTAAAGATATCTCAATTGATCACAATGAAAACTTTCAAAATATATAACTTGTCGAATAGCTCAACTTTTTCAACAATATTCTATCTGCCTTTTTAGTTGCAACATTTGAAAGGTCAACTTAAATGTTCCTATAGGCTTTTGAATTACGGGTCGTAACTTGCAAGTGTTTGATCTTCTCGCTCAGTGTATTTGATAAACATGAGCGGCAATTTTAATAAAGTCCAGATCTCATTAGTTTTATTCATAAATAGGAAACTGCAGCTGATGGGGTTCCATTGCAGTAAGAAACTTGGACATGATAAATAAATTATTTGCTACTTTCCTTCCTATCTGTCCTAGTAGGCACCAGCATTGAGGGTTTTGTAATCTTGTTTATGTAGTTCCTCTTATAAGCACATATAGATTGAGGCCACTGCTGTAATTTAATTTGATTGAAGTTCATTATATATATATATATATATATATTGCTTGGGTTTCTTTGTTTGTCTTAGACTATGTATTGATGTCAAAAAATCACTTGTATGAAACCAAGCACATATCAAATGTGAAAGGAAATCCTAGAAATGATGCAGAAACTAGAATTTCTAGATGTTCTAAAATTTCTAAGAAGTTACATCCCATGCTCAAATGCATGACGCAATTTAGACACTCACTGAGGTTGCAATTTGGACACTCACTGAGGATCTTAGATGATTATTTGTTGCAAGTTTGGTTAGAGTAATCCTGAAAAGCTCTAGAAAATGGGGCTTGCTTTGGTAAAATGTTGAAGTAGCATGACATGGAAGTAAAAGAATTCCTCATTCCTCAAACCCATAAGGATCACTAATTAAGTGTAGAATTGGTCATAAAATGGTTGATTAAGTTTGACAGTTAGGAAATATGAAAGAAGAATATAAAGGGCAAGATTACTTCATAATCACACCTAATAGAGACAAAGTATTTCGCCGTGGGCTCCAAATCATTGTGGCTAGGGCCACCTGAAGGATATATTGTGGTCTTTAATACCTAGGGCTATGTAGTTATATGCAAAATCGAAATTTTCTGCCATGTTTTCATAAATTGGTTGTATGTTGTTACACTTTATTATTAGCACTTGACCTGTCATTCTTGAAGTGAAGGATTTCAGGAATGCCAGGGATTTTGGATCATTGTTGAGATTGTTGTCACTTTTCGTAGAACAGAGACCTTTAATTTTTTGTAACTACTTTATCCTCAATGGTTGATGCTACCCATGTCATTTTCGGCAAAATCCGGTTTTATGATATAAAATATCTATTTTGTGATTATGAGAATATTATCTATGTGATAGTACATTTACCATATGCAAAACTTAGAACACAATGACTGTTGTATAGAAGAACTTGTTTGACTTGCCTTATTTGCTTGCTAGGACAGATGTTCAGGTGCATGCATGTGGGATTTTGAGGTGACAAGAAAGTCTTGTGGAACATCAACTAACAAATGCTATGACAAGTCCAGGAAGTTCGCATAGACGGCACATTCTCTTGGTTGCATGCGGAAATGAATATGCATCAAAATTTGACACTCTCACTCTCTGTTTCCTTGATTGGGCAGAGGTCAAGGCAGTGGCCACTGATAATGCCTTACAATTCCTTGATAAGTCAACATTTCCTAGTAGCGTGGACATACTAACAACTGAAGATGATTGGTTTCAATGGGTGATGCTAGGTGATGATATACTTCATCTTGAACTTTGCAAATGGGCAGATGCTGTGGTTATTGCCCCATCATCAGCAAATACACTTGGCAAGGTAAGCTTTAATGATTTGTCAGTGTTTCTGAATTTCCTAGCCCTAACTCTGCTATAGATTTCAGAATGTAGCTTTCAATGCTAAATTCCAGTGAAACTTCTTCTTTAATTTGGTATTGAATGCTATGGGCAGAAGTTTCTTTTGGCTTTATAAATGTTGGCTGACCAAACGATGTGGATTTTAATCATCATTGCAATGCTCTCAACAATTTTTTGATTAAAATGGGCAAGGTACTGATCTTGTTCAACTAGTCTAGTCATCCAAAAAGACAAGATAAATAGAAAATTATGAAAGCAATTTCCGAAACTGAAAAACTGAGAAGCAAATACATTTAAATTATAGTTTATTGATATTCCATTCTAGGACTGAATATCTTAATGATAAAAGATACTTATATTTGATATACTGATTCACTCGTATGCCTTAAGATTTGCTAAAGGGTGCAGTTGGCATACGGATGCATCCGTAGCTGTAGAGGTAAGGTGCACCTTCAAATTTTGTCATGGTATATAATTTTGATGTAAACTGTTCTTAGGATTATCTCAAAATCTATTTTTATATCTAATTATAAAATTTTAAATTTAAAAAATGGTTAAAATCAAGTCGATCTATAAACATATGAAAATCTTGAAAATGGATGGTGTAGATAATATGTTGTAAAATGAACTATTTCCGAGACTTTAAATCTTTTTATTTTTCATGGTCATACATCTCGATGTCGAGATGATCAATCTTTTCAACATTAAAACGATCTTTTCCGATAGATTTTTGAGGTGCATCCCTAGTTCTACATTATAAGGTTGTATCCTTATGTAAACTTTTTCCTTTGCTAAAAGGTAATAAGCAATTAAGTACATAAATTTAATAAAATAATTAGACATATAAACATACAACTCAATGAATTTTTCTTTAATAACCTTGAGTTCTGAATTATTATGGAGTTTAAAAGTTCTTTTGTAAGTTTTATATTAGATAAAGGAGTGTCTCAATGCTTATAAGGAATGATAAAAAAATGTCTTAAAATGATCAGATGATGTTAATGTAGAATAAACCCATGTAAGTTCTGTCGATATAATATGGCTACCTTGTTTGCAATTGCTTCTTCTTTTCTCAGGTTCTTTATATGCAACTCCTCTCTTTTGTATAGAATCTCATTGTTCAAATTAGGGGTGAGAATTGACCCGATCTGGATCCGAAACCTGAATTTTGGACCCTATTCTGATCTGGGTATGGACCCAAAATTTGGATTTGAAATCAAGATCCGGATCCAAAAGTCATTTCGAATTGAAATCTGGATCGGATCCGGGTGTAGGTGGATCTTCTCCGGATCCAATCTGGTTTTTTTAAATAGTAAATTTTTATTTTACATATATAATTTTTTTAAATAGTATACATATAATCCGGATCCGGATTTGAATCCAAATCCGATGCGTGCTATTCGGATCTAGATCCAGATCCGATGTGTACTATTCGAATCCGGATCCAGATTCGAATATCTACGATCTGGTTTGAACCCAGATCCGATGTATACTATTCAGGTCTGGATCCGGATCTGATCGGATCCACCCCGATTCAACCCGTTCTCACCCCTAGTTCAAATAGATCTAGCTTTCTTGAAATGATTCACGTCTAAAAATAGATACAATCTACATTAGCTGCACGTCCATTTCTATTGACATTCTATTTTGTTGTGTATTGGCATTGTCCCTACTAGTGATGAATTTAGCTAGAAATTGAACACAATCGAAAGTCTTCCGGCAGTTTGAATAACATATGGATGATTTGAGTTTTTCATTTATGTAGAAAGGAACGCCAATAGAGATGGTATTTGTTGTACTTTAGCTGTAGAAATGAATCATCTATTTCCGTTAGTTACTTTTCAAAGTAAAAATGTTCCAGGGTAAGATCAAATACTTTGCATGACATTCATGAGGAGGGGTTGAGAATGTTATTTATGTCCTCATACTATATTTTACAGCAGAAATTTTAAGAACAATTTCATTTCTAAATTTAATATATAAAAGCTACATCATTGGCAGTTAAAACCACAGTTACCAAATTCACAACATTTGAGCAAATTGAAAAATTGGATGAGTTTACACTAAATTTTACAATTTAAGCAGCATAATTCAAATAGTGAAGCATGATACAGAATGCAAATCAGTTAATTATGGTAAATACAGCATATCATCTTATGAAAGACCTTATGTAATCATCTTGTAGGAAAAATAAAAAAGGAGAGCATGCACAATCTCACTAAATTTGGCCAACTCAAGGAGTTTAGGTAAGTTCAGCTTATAGCTGTTGATATATTCTATTTATATTCTGCCTTCCTTGTGGAGTTTTCAATGCACCAAATGCTGCAGCGGTAGTCTTTCTATAGTTTACTTAATGTTGTGATAGTATAATGGTGAAGGAAGAAAATAGAATACCGAACCATGTCATTTACTGCACAGCTGAGATAAATTTCTTTCAATAAATGATGGCTGTACTTAGATTTGGTGATTCATAAATATTTGTACAGGTAATTAGATTATTATCAGTTCCTCTAGTCTCCAATGTGTAAAGATCCACATGTATTCAGGGAAAATATCATTTAAAAAACATATATTAAAAGATGACTGGATTTCAAAGGCTCATTTTAGAGTATTTAGTGCTTCACTAAGCACTGACTGATGCTAGCATTTTTATCTTGTAGATTATCTAAATATCAAACAATGCTTAGCTTGAGGGTGAGGATGAAACAAATGTTTGGGACAACTTAAGCAATTAGTGCTGATATGTGGGTTTGATCTTTTAGCTATCTGGGTGTGTGTCTTGTTTTTGTGTTTGTGTACAGAATCTTTCCACATGGAATGAAAATGGATACTGCCCTGCCCAAATGCCATATTGCCTTTGTATGAGATGTGCTGTACACTTGTGCAGGTTTCTTCTCCTAAAGTACCACATTGCCTTTGCATGACCTATGCTTTATTTGGCATTCATGTGGGCAAGATCAGATGTTCCTATTTGTGAATTGGCATCCATTTATTAGGTTACTTGAAGATTTCACTTGTTAGCTAAAGTACTAGTTTCACTATCTCCTGCATGTCTATAATAGCAGTACTCACTATCAATAGAATCATTAAACACATCGTGGTACTGCATTACTCATAGTCAGAAATTGTTTCTCCTCGTGTAGATTGCGAAGGGTCTATGTGACAACCTGTTGACAAGTGTGGTGAGAGCATGGGACTACAACAAGCCGCTGTTTGTTCTTCCTTCAATGAGCATCTCTCAATGGAACAATGGTTTCACCCAATCCCATCTCGATACCCTCCAAAGACTCAGAGTCAAGGTTATCCCTCCAATTCACGATTTAACGGATTGTACGAGTGCTGCTCTGAATGAACCTAGTGCCATCTCAGACTTTGTCAAGAACTTTCTTGAGAATCAAGCTCCTGATGCTTGAGCATTGAGATAACAGATACCAAGCTGTTGAGTTTGTACTAGTATAGAATAGTGTTTTGAGATTTTATATTTGGGTCAGAGTGACTGTAGTGTCGAGTTTTAAATCAGCTTGTCACATTTCATAGTCTGCTCCCTTTATATTGGAATGCTGTTTTTTCTTCTCTTGCATGAGATTCAATTCTGAGCTTCTGAACAGTACCAACTTTATTGACTGGCATCATTTGGGACACGAAAAATATCAATTGTTCTTTTCAATAAAATCACCAAATTCTTCAATTAATAGATTTTGATTCTTACATTCATGTGTGTGCTGGTATTGTTCCATGCAATTAACTTATACTAAGAGATGCTATTCTTAAGGCCATAAGTTGTATTCGATCTGTTTTTTTGTAATCAACAAAAGATTCCTTGCTTCTGGCATTACTCATTAATGAATCCTTTTCGTTTTATGCATGTGTTTGTGTTTCTTTTGTGTTTTTGTTTTATCTGTGTGTGTGTGTGTGTGTGAGAGAGAGAGAGAGAGAGAGAGAGAGAGAGAGATTTCAATTTGGCCCTTGATTGTTCAAATTCTTAAAACCAAAATCATTGACACTGAGAGAAATGGTTAATACCTAGTGATGCATATGCTTGAGATTAATGATCAAATGGAAATGCACAGGTTGGGTACTTGTGTTCATGTTCCAAAGTCATGCTCCGGAACTATTAAGCCTTGATTTTATCTGGGAAAATTTTATGAATTCATAAACACCCAAGTTTCGATTGTCAAATTTGAGGAAAAGAAACTCCACACTAATAGTGTTAGAATTGATTTGGGAGTGATCCAACTTCCCCACCTTTTAACTTAAATCACGAGGTGCTCCAAATTCATGAGCAAGCAAAAGCTTTGCGCAATAGGCAAAGTAGCACCACCTTTGGCCACTCACGACCTCCGTTGAACCCAATCCAATTAATTATATTCGTGAGAATCCTTGCTCACTCATTGATAGGAATGCACCCATCTTGTTCTCTCAAACTAAAGGCACATTTGTATCTCATTATATATCAAACCTATAAAATGCACGCTCACATAATGAGGCTGAATATCAAGTATTGAGAATCAGTCTTGAGATAGCAACTGAAATGAAGACTTAACACTTGGTCATATTTGGGATTCTCAATTGATCATTCGACAACTCAAGGGGATGTATGGTATGCGAATGCTGAACTGGCTCCAATGCTATAACACGGTTAAGTGTCTCTGGGCTCGATTTAAAGAGGTTACCCTTAATCATATCCCCTGGAGGCTTAATTGGCAAGCTGATGCTCTTGCCAAACTAGGTACATCCATTGCTCTCCTCTCAAAAGCACCAATGCTGATATATGAGAGTGGTAGATTACACATCCCAAAGTAGGACTGATGGTGATGATGAAAGGTATCTATTCCCTGAATACCTAACATATCCATTTGGGGCTCTAGTCTAACAAAAGAGGCTTAGGATACTAAGAATGAGCCCAAGCCCAATTCCTCTCCAAAGATAGATGAAGTCGGAAACTCTGACCCGAGGTTTGGACCAGAAAAGAAGCCTCTGGAAAGGATCAGGGAATACAACAACCCTTGATACAAGCTGAAATTGAGTAATCAGAGTATTGGCGGATGCCCCTCGATTAGATCCATCAATGGCGGTTTCTTGTTGAATGAGCTGAACACCACGTCCATGGAATGAAAGTGGACAATGTGAACTAGCACGGTTTATGTAGTTTAAAATTTTCCTTTTCCAAAACCGGCTATGACACTTACATAAGTCCAAAGATTACAATAAATACGCAAATAAACAAACAAAAAATCAAATTTGGATACTGATTTGCTGCCACTTTTACAACTCTTTGTTTCATAACAAAAAATTACTTAAACTTGCACTTGGGAACGAAGAAACATAAAGTGTAGTAAATTGAAAGAGATGCCAAAAGATTACCTCAATTGGACTTGATACACAACCCACTCCAGATCTCATCTAACAAACGCAGGGGATTAAGGTCTTTCTTAGATCTCATAAGTACATAAAGCATTGGCTAGAAAATCCTACAATGGATATGAGAGCATATGGAACCAAATTGGCTTTCTCTTGTATCTCTATCAGTGGCCCATGCCCCTCTATGTCTCTACAAGATTGGTTATGGGGCATGCCCCTCGTGTGTCTTAGAGAGGCTTTAAGAGATGGAGATAGAAAAAAAAAATGAGAGAGAGGGTAGCATACCACCTTGAGGAGAGAGGGATTGGAGGTTATGGTTTTATAGACGTGTGGTTAGGGTTAGGGTTTAGCTTTTCTTATCGAGATTTGATCTACACCATTGATCAAAAGACACTGTAGGGTGAGACATCTTAGCCTTACAATCTGTAGATCAGTACTCATAATCTAATGGAAGGTGCTATAACATTATCCCTTAGATTCCTTAACCTAATCCTGTCAAATATTAAATGTAGAGAAAATATATTATACTTGCTTTCTATTTTCAAATCAATCTTTACACATTCTTTCTTTTAAAACAATTAGCTTTTGTTTTTCAAACATTCCTACTTTATTTCAATCAATTAAGTGGTTTCTTACACAAGCCAACATATTAGGAAAGAGAGCAAGAAGAATGGGGTGTGCCCCTCTATGGGCACTAGTGGGCCCCACATACTCAGCAAGATGGGGTAGATTGGTGGGGTCCATTAAGTATAATGGGCCCCCATATATTTTAATAATTTTAAAACCAATAAAATGAATTTGAGAAAATAATAAGTGTTTTTATTTTATCTATAAATAATTAAGCATTTGAAATGCAATTTAAACCTATTTAAAAATATATTTTGAGAAAATAAAATATCCAGAGAGTTCTAAAAATTAATCCAACTTCAAGTGGGGAATACAACAGTTAAACTCCTTTCCATGTTAGCCAAACCAGAGCATGTGCCAATGAATTTATTTATTGCTGAGTATCCCTATGTGCGTGCCCCCCTCAATTCTAGTCATAGAGTCGGTCGATTCCTCTTTGTCTGCGGACCTCTCTCCTCAATAAAAAACTAGGTGCTGGATAATGCAGAGAAGAAGAAGCCAGTGAGAGAAAAGGTTGAGGAGATGATAAAGGGGATGACGGTCTGGTCGGATGCCTCGATCTCGCCTCCCTGGATCTAGGTGATCGCGTGACACGTGTCTCAGGTTAAGAAGACCCGGGACTTGAGATCGCTTTCTCAAGAACCTTGTTCACAGAACAAGGGCAGGTGCCTAATTAGTGAGAGAGGAATTTTATTCGTGAGGCGGGGACCAATCTCACTTGGGTCCATGACTTACTCGGGTTGACTCGCGCGGGCGCCCTCTTAGATCACAACGGAAAGCCCTCAACTGCTTCAACTGGTTCGGAATAGCCTCTCTTGTCCTGCAATCTCCTTGTTTTCTGCACAACACTATCATGGTTAACTTGCAAGACAAGTGGCCGGAAGGACCTACCCTTGTCTTAGGGCAATGCACCTTCATATGACAGAGCAGATGAGAAGTTATGATGATGAAGAAGAAGGTTCGAATAAAGAAAGAAAAGAGAAGATGACTTGATAAGGGTACGAGATTAGCATGATAGTTGGACCAGTACAGTGAGCGACTCGGAGTGGTAGCAAGATAGGCACGGTAACTCAGACCGGCGCGATGACAATTCTACTTGAACCAAGGTCGATATGATTGTCCTAATCTGGTGTGGCAGCAAGACGGGCATGGTACTCAGGACCAGCACGATGACAATACTACTTCACAGCAAGACCCCTATGACAGTGCTAGACTGAGTCTGTCCTTTAGTCAAGCAAGAATGAAGAGTAAAGAGAAGAAAAGAGATCTAAGAGAAGGCGTGAGATGGTGAAGAGGGAGGGTCCCGACGGTGTTAAGATTTCCATCCACGGCCAAGGAGTAACAGTGTCGTGGCCCCTAGACGACGCTAGACATTGCTGCTCACAATGAGAGGGGTAGGCAACGAACTTCAGATGGCGTTAACACGAGAAGGCAACACATCCCTCCGTGGGCGACAATAGCTTCTTGTGAAGCGCACGACGATAGGCGTGGGACACGAGAGAAGCCTGTGGACGGCGATAGGCATCGAACGCATTAAAGAAGCTCGTAGACGGCGATAGGCACCGGGCGCACGAAAGAAGCTTGCGGACAGCGATAGGCACCGAGGGTACGAAAGAAGCCTGCGGACGATGATAGGCATCGCCGCGACCCTTCGCTGGTGGCGATAGGCATCACCGTCTACGATAGGCACAGGGCGTAAGAGAGAAGCTCGCGGACGGTGATAGGCATCGCCGCGACCCTTTGCGGGTGGGTGGCGATAGGCATCGCCGCGACCCTTCGCGGGTGGGTGGCGATAGGCATCGCCGTGAACCTTCGTGGGTGGCGATAGGCATCACCGCCTGCGATAGGTGTATGGCGCAAGAGAAGCCTACGGACGGCGATAGGCATTGCCGCAACCCTTCATGGGAGGCGATTGGCATCGCCGTCTGCGCTCATGCAGGACATCAAGGATACGCCTGTGGACAGCGATGAGTAGCGCCCTCTGTGAACTTCATTGAGAGATAGAGACAAATGAAGAGAGGGGGAAATAAATTTGTGCATGGCGTTGCCATCGCCATGCATGACTTGCAAAACCACAGGAAAAGAAAAAGGCATGCACGGCATTGCCACTGTCGTGCATGGCCATTGAGAAAAACTCAGACGAAGGAGAAGAAAGAGAAGAAGAGAGGAAAAAAGAGAAGAGAGAGAAAGAGATTTACTTTAAACTCAAGGGTATCGACCTAAAAGTTTCTCTCTCCTTCCCGTCTCTCTCAAAACTTAACCCGACAATAAAAAGAGATAGAAATATTATTAAGTAAAGTTCCATCCATGTACAATGATAGTACGATATATATAGAGTTTTGCCCAAAAATGGGTGGATTGATCAAAATTAAACCTAATTGCTGAAAATTAAGATTTAATTGAATTAAATAAAATAAGAAAATAGGGTGCAAAATGACTGATTTGCCTTTTCCTAACAATTGAGAAAATTTCAAAACAGTCTTTGTTGCTGTCCTAAAACATGCGTGATCTTTCATGGATAATCCAGGGTTGCTTTGGTGCCCGTTAGTCCGAAAGATGATTGTTTTCTTGTAGGGCTCGGTATGGCAATCGATTTGATACCGACTTCGAGCCATGGATCGTGTTTTTAAGCCACGATCATGCGACTTGAAATTTGGATGAATCATGCAAACTTCAGATCGATAGTGTGCTCATTTCTTGACGAGA